TCACTTTGTTTCCAAATTTTTTATTAAAAGGAATTAAATATAAATAGTAAGGAATTGATTTTTATAAACGTAATGACAATGAAAGTGTTCATTGACGTGTGCCTGTTGCGGAAAGAATGTGCCGGACGAAAATCAACATTTTGGAGATATAAAAGTGGAATAGAAAAAAATCTTGCAAATCAGGAAATGGTTGACGTTTCATACCGAGAATGGTACGCGGGCATTAATTACGATCTGGAATCGCCGCCGCATGCTGCTGATGGGCCTGTGGACCTTGTGGTGAGGAATCTGAACTCATTTCTCTATATTGCATGTCTTAGCTCCTGAACTGTTGTTGGTTGGACATGGCGTGAAGAATTGGCTTTCTGCAGCATACCCCAAAGGTGCTCAATTGGAGTTAAATCCGGGGACCTCGCTGGCTAACCCATGCGGACTATAGTTGCCTCCTCAAGATATCGGTTTGTCATGTGGGCTCTGTGTGCACGGGCATTGTCATCCATAAGAATGAAATCAGGGCCGACTGCGCCAGCGTACGTGCGTACATGGACGTCTAAGAATTCATTGACATACCTTTCTGTCGTCAGTGTACCGTTTTGAATGATGTGTAGGTCCGTTTTCCCCTGAACGCTTGTTCCCGTCCACACCATGACTGAAACCCCGCCAAAACAGTTTGTGTGCTTATACGCACACCAGTTGCATTCTGGAAGTCGTTACGTAAGGTCGTAACGGTAAAGAACCGTTGGTGCCTGACCTGAAGGAAAACAAATCGGCCCTGGGCTTGAGTCGTTGATCGTTCCCGACCTCCGGCGTGTCCCTGCATGACATTTCCAGTCAATACGAATCGGTTCCACGTCACATGTTGGAGACAACACTCTGGGATACCCCAAGGACAAAGGTAACGTGTCTTTGTGAACGGCCAGCCTCCAACATTCCAAAGCCCCTGTTCATTTCACCTTCACTAAGACGACGTCTAACATGCCGATTTGCCATAGTTAGTTAATTTCGAACAAAGTTTTACAATAAAACGAGAGAAGTATTGCTGCTTGTACACGTTTAAGTTTAAGCACATGGCCATAAAACACCAAATTACCATGGGTATGCTGTTTAGCGTGCTTATCGTGCAAGGTGTTCATGACAAATCGATATTTTATGAACATGATTATGAGGTCCCCGCACAGGTGTATCCTTAGCGGAAATATGATTTAAATATGATGATAATAGGACTGAAATATGCAATGTTAAAAAGGTTATCCTTCGCAAATTTTGAGTAGAATATTATGCTCAGACATATTTGATTTTTTGAAATACTGATAATTGTTAGTATCTCATGAAATCTAAAAAGAACTTGTTTAGTACCCGTGCTGAAGGAGAAAATACATGTATGCTACGTTTTAAACTCTACGCACGATCAATGACCACAGTATAAAATACAAAATACAAAGTCTCATAAAAATCATTTTAAATGGCAGATTTATACAGTTTATCTTTCAAAAGGATCTGTGACCTAGGATGTTTCTGTTTTTTAACACACACGAATAGTAACCGTAACTAGAAAAAAAGTAATTGCAGAACAAAAATGTTTGCCTTATTTGAAGTATGGTATTTACCTTTATCAATGATTTTGTGAAAATACTTTTCTATCTCAATGAAATTTACAACCATATTTCTTAAACATAATTAATAAGAAGCTGTTGAGTAAAGATTTAAACATTTATTATGGGAAATAATGTTATATTTCTTAGATCTATATTGTTTCATTATTGAATTATGAGATTAATTTAAATCTTATATGATATCTTCTTTATTATGATATCAACATTTGTGAGTATAATGTAACGTAAATCAGATATCTGTGCACAGGAAATTAAGATGTTATAACTGCAGATGATTGTTGAAACATTAAGTGTTAAGACGGCAGACACATTAGGATTTACTTCACATTACTATCAACATCCTTACGTTTGTTCGATATTACCTACATTAGAATTCCTTTTATTTTCTAATGCTTAAATAATCATTCCAAGTTATTACAAGATACCTTGGAAATGTCAGCAGTACGAGTTATATCAACGAAAGATATGCCAAACAACTTGGTTAATCAGTATATTCATGTTCTAAGGTAGTATGACGTCAATATGGAAAACTAGTTCTGTATCAAAACCTCAAGACTTTTTTTTATTTAAGATTTTTGCTACATTAAATTTTTTTAAACAAATGTTGTGAATTTGAAATGCCAACTGACATAACACAATTATTGTGCGATGCGTAGGTTCGATGCCCGGGAGATGCTTTGGTAGTTTAGCGCGGAGGAAGGTAGTCTAGTACTGGTGTAACTCTCCAGGAATGATGATTAGGAAACTACCCGCACAAATGACTGAAATACTGTTGGGAAAAGGCGTAAAATGAAACAACAAACAAACAAAACGATGGTAAAGTGAATATAGTCACTACTTCGTCTATGATCTTGGATTTTCACCAAAATTGTTATGCAATTATTGTTACAAAAATACTTTTTCAAAGTTGTTCGATTTTATTTTAAGTTCAAACAAGAACTATAAACAAGACGCCTGAAGGCGAAGAAGTTGTTTTCTTATTTTTAGCAGTTGATCCCTTTAAAAAATTTAAAATGTTCATATGAAGGCTCAAACATGCATTACTATTTATTCATAAATTTTACAAAAGTAACTTGTAACATGGAAGTATTAGTAGTGATATAATGAACTAGTATGTTAAGATAATTAAAAAACAGTTACTATTATATTGAATATTACGATACTATACTATCTTAACTATTAAACAAAATTCGATACAAAATATGCTTCATTTCAAACACATTTTTGCTCTCCATTCAAATAGTTTTGTACATAACTTTGGTTTGTATAGTTGAAAAAAAACTGTACAATTTTATTTACTTATATGTAGTAGTGCATAAAATTATGACAAAAACGCAGAAAGTTGAAACGATCTGTCAATCAAAGCCCCAATTACATGTTCAATTACCAAACATCTCATTGCCGACTTAAATATGGTGTTGTAGATTTTTTCATTTCGATGTTTTATTTTTCTTGTCCTCCAAGATAGTAGATTCCACCAAGTGAATACTGTTTAAGCAGGTGCTAGAGCGCATGAGAGATATTGCACTTATTTATGTGTGTCAACAACAGGCTAAATCAAAACGAGTCTGCGATTGTCATACGATATTGTTGTTTGCAAAGCCTCGGATGTATCACCACTTTCCCAGAGTTTTAGAGCAGAATAAAGTAATAATTACTAATCTTGTCTCGTTAGTAATTCCATTGCACATACCTTAATCGAATTTCATATTTATAATTTTGAATAGTTTACTTTATACAGAATCAACAAAGTCAATGAGATGATAAAGAATATAAACGATTATCGACCTGTAAAGGTTATTGATTAATACGTAATTGATTTATTACATCACAACAGTCAAGGAATAGTTAGATAAATCATAATTATATTAAACTTCAGTCTCGGCAAATAATAAGTATTCTCATTAAAATTACTCTGATCAAAACAAACCCAAATGTTTATATATCTACAAAGAACATTTTATTAACATTACTGTCGATCATAAAATCTGAAAAAGTTGTTTGTGAATTAATTTTTAATACATATTTTTTTTTCAAACCGAACACGAACTCAAAATATACATTAGATCGTAGACAACCAAGCATCTCAAGCAAGCAGCTCAAATGTAAGTTTTCTTCTCTTTGCAAGTTTGAAATGTGACAACACTCCTGGTGTATATACACTCACACTCATACTATTTTAAATACATATGATCAATATCTAGTTAATAAATAATTGCTTTGTGGATATCTATTTGTCTTACATATTTTGCATTCACTTATCAATATGTTTATAAAAAGGTAGTCTTACGAGTATTTAACAACATGTATGTATTGTCTGTTCCGATTCCATATCAACTGTTGTTTAAAAAAAGTATATTCTGTTCTTTTGATAGACACTCCTTTCGTGATTGTTTTCATCCCTGGTTGAGTGAGTTTCTGTAAATTAATGTTAAACAGGTACCGGTTGACGTTGATTCATTCATTCTAATTTTTTGTCTTTAAACATCTGATGTGTGGATTCTTTATCATTTGATGATTTAGTTTTTGTTGGAGTGGAATGTTTTTAATCTGAATTCATCTTAATTTTTAATCTTGACCAACTGCATTTTTTAATGCAAATATAAATCCACAAATTATGCACAAGGTGTAGATGGTAACGATGATATCAATGAATAGATAGAGAAACATCTTGTTTTTTCAATGCAGTTTATTCAAAGTTACAATGATTATAATTGTCAGATAGTAACAGCGTTTAAAGGACAGAAATAATAAAACAAAATGTGTTATGACTTTGTGTTGATTTCTTTTGAGAATATAAAACTATATCTAATTGGCATTTCACTTTTAATAGTATTGAAATGTTTCTCAACGTTGCACTCATGTTTAACATTATCTAAATCATATTTTAACTACAAATAATTAAAAGTCATTCTAAAGTAATTATCCTTGTGTATCATATGAATAAATTTCTGTGCAATATGTTTTGAATCGTTATGCAAATTAAGACATCTATCTAATAACCATCTGTAGTAAAGTTTTTGCTTAAGGTACGTCATTATAAAATACTGATTTTCTTTTTACGAATGATTTGAGCGGCGCCAAGCATAAACAGCCGTTATCGTATAATTAATTATGCTGCGAAATATAGTCCAGTCATTCTAGCTCAAAATAGAGCCAAACCTCAAACAAATTGCAACAGAAAATATTTTGAGTGTTTTGAAACCCCAGACCTATATTGTATAACATATCAAAAGTCTAGAAAAATCTAAATTGGAGAATGTTTTCAAAAATTGAGATGAAATATATGGGTATCATTGTATTTATTTTTTTAATTTGAACTCAATGTAATACACACATACAATTTTCCAATCAGTTTTATATATAATGTGCATAAAAATATAGCTTAATATATCCTTATAGTAACATAAAGTAATCGAAAAGTTGTTTTTGTTTAAAGAAACTACTTTTACCTTTCTAAAATTTATTAATTAACTTAAGTGGGTGGGGTAATATTATATTTTTACATTGTTGTAGATCAACAATTTATTGAAAGCTTTATGTTATATGATATTAAACAGAAAATACATAATGGTTTACGTACATGTGAAAACTGTCAAGTTTCAACGTTTTATGAATTTAATTTACATTCCATCAATATTTAATGCATATATTGAAATATTTATATTAACATTGTACAGCTAGTGGGTGGGGTAATTTTATACAAAATAAAGAAACATTAAGGAAATCTATATTATCTATGATAATAATATTGAGTTTTATATTAACTTGAATACTTCCAAGCATATCTGTTGTATTTTTTTTCTGAGTCATTATTTAACATCATGACATTGGGTCAAAAGAGGTGACATTGACCTTTTGGAAGGTCAATTTCAAATATTTGATACATTTGAGCATAAAATGTAAAAAAAATAAATATTTGCAAATTTTAATTTGTAAAATATCTTCGCTAAGCATAAGCACAAGAATGTCATGACTTTTACAAAGCGTCACTCGCTTCTGTAATTTCTGGTCGACCAATCTTTCACTTTTTATCACTAGATGGTAGCACCTGAAATTCTTCTGGTATATCTTTTCCAGTTCTGAAATTAGAGGAGCATAAACATGTTTGATGGTAAAGAGCATCGGCTATAAGCAAGTTGTGAACCTGTTCTATCCTTGCTCTCACTGTATCAGACAAACAGTCATTCCTCTGTATACATATATTCAAAACAGTAGGTTCTAGTGTCCTTACTGGCGAAACATCACACTTCCTTGTTTTACCCTTACTTATTACAGATTGACCACAATATAAACAATCTTTTTTGTATGAAAACTTATCAGTCATTGATCTCAATGGTGGCATCAGTGTTTTCTTTTTCTGTCTTAGTGTCTCTTTTAGTGTAATGTGGGTTACAGTACATCTTTCTACACTCAATGTGAATATATAATTCCGATTAAACTTTTAAACTGTCATTTTATTTCTCACTGGCAGCATTTATTCCATTGCATTCCTTTTCGTTGCATTTAACTGTCTTTGTATGATCATCAAACAGCCGTTAACAAATCCGACAGGAGTTCATCTTGAAAAAAAACAACAATAACTGATATTGTAAGATTTATAAAATCTGTTTTTACATTATATGGAGGTTGATCCAGAATTACCCAAAATTTGTTTATAATTCTGATAACTTTTTATGTTTTCTTCATTAAATTTATAAATGCGCAAAGATCGATATTTCTTCTATTTAATTGCCAAATATATTTGATTATAAACATCCAGTACCGTCTCAGGCCGCCTTAAATAACCCTGGATACGCCACAGCAGCGCAACTCAAAGAACACGACGTTCGTTGAAATTTATAATACACCAAAGTGCCCGACACAAAAAGGGATCATGTCCAATATTTGCCGAAGGTTAATGTAAAGCCTGCTAAAATTTCACGTCGTTTGAACATTGTATTATTGTGTAATCATTTGTAATTGCAACGTTTATTTATGCAAAAACGTCTTCATTAAGGCATTGGAAAACGGCATTTTCATAAACATTTGTCAACTTTTTAGACAGCCTACCATAGAAACATCTAATATGATAAAAGAAATTCGTCACAAGTATTTTGTTAGTCATGCATACAAAACTTTTTGAGGGGTAAAGAAGTTTTTTTACCAGACTGTTGGAGTAATTTTAAAGATAAATACATATCGTTTGCGGCATAGAAGAATACGCGTGAAGTTAACGTTCTCCGTCGCTGTGGCGATTGAAAAATACAAATATGCTGTCATATGCGCCTTGCACAATTTCAATGCGATTTAAAAAAAATGAATTCTAATTGACGATTATGTGCTGTTTTTCATACTTTATTTGTTTTCTTTTACATGCACTTTTTACCTAATTAAATTAAATGAATCATATATTTTATGCCTTCAACTTTAAGATGATCATGCGTATGAATCACAGCAATCAAAGCAATTAGCAGTTCAATAGTCATAGGTTTAGGTTGTTAGTACACTTACAGTGAATGTTATCGGGAGGATTCCCTATGTATAAGAACAATAGAACACCAACCTTTTTTGCATAATGTGACAAATCTGTTTGCTTATATGGTAGGCATACTGTGTTTAATTATCATATTCTTGTTTCCTTGTAAAGAGGATATATTACGCAGTAATAAAGTGTTTGTTATATGAACTTTGAATAAATATTATTGAATTTATTGTTTAAATTACGGATATTTCTGGATCACCCCTTGCATTCTTGTATTCTGGTTATTGGTAGCTGATTACGTATTGTTTCAGTCATCCCAGAACAGTATGTGTTATTATAAGATGTATGTTTCCTAAAAGGCTTTCCTTAAAATGTTTTAGGTGTATTTATTTGATCAAAGTTGCTGATATGACACACTTTTCTTGCATATCAGACTGGCTTTCGCGTTAATATTACCCATGCCGGAAATTTCATCTGGCATAGGGGGTGCCAGATGAGGTGCCAGATGAGTCGCGTGCTAGGATGACGTAATTTTACCGTTATGAATGAAGTTGTAATTTCATACGCTGTTGTACAAAAATAGTTTCGGTTGTAATGGCATAAATTCCCATTGAAAATTAAGATAAAGAATTCAAAATATAATGTTATATCGTAAAATATGCAAGAAAAAATATTTGACATATGTTTGCGGTTCGGATCGGAATATCCGTCCCGAGGTGACCCGCCCATTGGGCGGTAACGAGGCTTGCATAACATATGACAGATATTATTATTATTTTCTAAGATTTTAATCTAAAATTATAAATATAAAATACCTACTGGTTAAAGTGTTTGGAAGTAACGTAAAGATAAAGTCTCATATTGAGTTTAAAAATGTCACCTTTCAATTTTAAGCATTTCTAATGCCCATCCGTGCATGCATTCAAAAATATTTGTACTGATATGTTACTATATGGAACTTATGACACACTTTTAAAGTTTGCTTATATGAAAAATATCATTAAAGTGATTTTGTGAAACAAATGTCTCAACTATGCATCTTTACCTTTAACTCGTATACATCACAGTGTCCTCAGAACACATGATCGGGCATACCCATTGGCTCTGGTGTGTTGATGAAATCTGTAACATAGAAATTACTTCAAGTTTGAAAGGATTAGAATCTTATTTTCATATTTACGTGAAATAAGGTTCTATAGAATACACAGATGTTTTTATTGTTACATGTATTTGCTTAAATTTTGATTTTAAAAGTGATAAAATTATACTATAGTCAACTTAGGTGTGCATTCCAAAAGAAATACTAATATATCGCTGTGAATTAATCTTATACACGTAATGCACTTTTTCAAATTCGCGCAGGTGCTATTGTATCATAAAAGATTTTTTTTTTAAATTATGGATCAACTGTGCATGTTTACCTTGAACCTATCATACACATCGCAAATAATGAACCATAACTAGAAATCACGTTTGTTTATTGATTAATTTTTCATGTCACCTTTTCATGTATAAATTTCTTCTATGTCTATTAAAAACTGAAAATAATTTCAGATATATTGAATTATGCATACGACGCTCTATTTCCTCCATGTTTAATATTCACTTAAACTAGTAAAAGATAATGTTTGATATTTGTGTTATATATGTAAAAATATTACAAATGTAAGCACAGGAAAGCAAACTTACTCATTTAGTGTACATATAGTTTACTGGATTTTTTTTAATTTTCAAAATCAAGCATACATCAATGAATACTACCTCAAAGCGGTACCCCTGAAATAATAATAACATTAAATACATTATCTATGTAAAACAATTTTAAAAAACTATTAAACAATACAAAAAAACAACCTTGAATACACATTTAACAATAAAACATGATTAAAGTATTCAGAATTTATTTAACGTAATTCGTCATAATTAAAGTGATAATGGCGTTCCATAGTTTAAAAATACTGTCGAAATTAATTTGTTATAAATACACATTTTTAGGCCGTTTTTGAATGTTTACTAAGACAGGAGTTAATCAGAGTTGTAATTTATATAAATTAAACTGTTTTCCATGAAAAGTATAATACAGATCGCTTGAAACACCTGTTGACCTTCAACGGATAAAGAACTGGTGAAACAAGTAATAATCTTCAACAAATACTCACAATAAACTTACGACCCCACATTAATAATTCCTATTATGATCTGTAATATTTTATGGAAAATTTAACAACCCACTTTACAGTGTACTTTACTGACATTTATTTTGTTTACGCTTATTTTGTTGTTGTTGTTGTCGCCATTATGCAGTCGCTATTCTGTGTATCGGAGACGCTTTGTTCGCCTATGGAAGACCGTTGTCGTCAGAAAAAAATCACAAAAAATAATACGATAAAAACCCGTTTTTTTCTATGTTGCACAACTTAGATTTTGCTAGACTTTTGATATGATTCATGTTATTTCATATACTTTTTATACCAGGTAAAATATTTTCTGTTGCAATTTGTTTGAGGTCGATTTACAGACTGACTGGACTAATATGACGTCAAAATTGGTGATGACGTAGAAAGATGGCGGCGCCCGTATTTTTACATGACAGATTGTAAACACAACAAATATGGACACTTTCGAGGTAATGTTTTAGTTTTATCTTGTTTTTACATGTAGGACACATTTATAAAGTGTTTAGGAATAAAAATCTCCATAATACAATTGTTTTCATGTGTCATCAAGCACATGAGCGTTAAAAGTGGCGCTTTAAGTTATTTAAATTAATTTAAACTAAATTTCCAACGGCTACAGGTTATAATCCCGTAGGCGTACAGATAATCTTCAAACATACCGACAAGTATGAGCCATTCCCTTTGAAAAAATTATTTTTAAGATGGCGTTAAACTTAAAAGAAAAAGATAGATCCGTATTAACATATTTTATTGTGTTTATTAGTTTAAAGCTGTTATAATTTTATAGCTCCCAACACCTCACACCCCGTCCTTTAATGAATAAAACTTTAAAATTTAAAATTAAGCGGGCAAGAACTTTACTTGGTAATTTTTTTGCGTATCAAAATACTAAAATTTTTTTTAACGTCAATAAAGCATGTTGTCTGCATAGCCGAGTGGTTAGTGTCGTGGACTGACGACCCGTTAGTCGTGGGTTCGATTCTCACTAACGCTACTCTTTTTTTTTAATTACTTTTTTTTTAAATTAAAGATTACTTCTTATATATATTATTTAATGAGATTAAATAGCTAGATCTATTTTTATAATTTTTTTTTTACAGGAGCTGGATGATCTTCTGTCAAGTTTCGGTTTGTCACATCAGTCAAACACGTGTAATTCTGTAGCGATCCGAAATGAAAGTGAAAATGAAGTTATAGAGGCACCAGATATATCCATTGAGTCACGACTCGACAGATATTTTACAGCTAGTCTTGTTTTGGATCCTGTTAATGCAGACAATCAAGGTAATGCTGACGCTTACCAAAATAGTGATGATCCGCAGAGTGACATTGACAATCTGAAACACATTTATGACAGTGGCTGTAAATGTACTAAAACTGATTCAGTAACTTATCCTTTCCTCAGATTGAAGCAAATATTCTTAATCTAAGGGAAATGACAAAAAATGAAAGGAAATGCTAATAATGGGAACCCTTAAAAAGATAAGTTCTGACATAAGATGTAAAGAGGATCGCAAACACTCCCGTTATGAATATTATTTTGATGGAGTAAAAGTTTGCCATGAAACCTTTCTGGTGGTCTTTAATATAAAAGACATGCAACTGAGAAATATCAAACGACATATGGAAGAACACGGTGCTCAACCACGTGTTCACGGTCATACAGGAAGACGAGCTCCAAATGCATTTCCTCCAGACGTTATTAAAGATGCATATATTTACCGTCGTCTGATACAAAACATTCAGTGCACAGTGATTACGGGAAGTTGGGAAGCGGTATGTTGGTTTATCAACATTTAAAGATATACGGAAAAATTGTGTGCCTCATATAAAAATAGCGTCGCCGAAAGAGGATTTGTGTAAAGCCTGTGAGGACTGTAAACAGGATATTAAGCTTGCCCAGAGTGAAAACGACAAGATAGATGCAACATTGAAATACCATCAACATGTGCTGCAAGTTAGAAAGGAACGTGACCTTTACGTGGAACTTGTAGAAAAATCAAAAGCAATGTTTGTAAACCGGGAACAACACAACCAGGCTGCGGGTGATAACTTTTCTACAAATGACGTACATTATACATTTGACTTCAGTCAGTATGTTAAGTTACCACACCATGCACAAGAAAAGGGACCCACATTTTTCATTCAGCCGAGAAAAGTGCAGGTAGGATTTTCAATCTAACTATGCTAATTATTTATTTTTCATGTATGCATTGTATTTTTTTTTTGTTTCTTTTACAATTACTATAAACATGAAAATTACCTGTTAGTACCATAGTTAATATAAATTTTCTTTGCGTTTTCAAAATCTATACTTTGAATAATTTTTCTATGCAGTAAATGTGTACATGCTGTATCTTTCAGATATTTGGTTTCCGAGCCGATGGCTACAAACAGTACAATTATCTCATAGATGAGGACCAAACAATTGGTAGTTAAACAGATTTTTGGCTTTTCTGTAAAATTATAATAGAAAATTAAATAAAAAATAACTAAATAAATTATTATCCAGTATGTGCATGATAAGCATACTTTAAAGTTTTTTTTTGTAACTGCAATGCATGCAGTATCTTTTTCAGTAACATTTCAAGTAAAACAGGATTGAATCTCATCGTGTCTTCTAAATTACAGCAAATTAGTTCAAATATCAAGTTTATGTCATTTTTGTTTTTGTTTTAGGACAAGATGGCACACTTGTACATGGACCAGACTCGGTCATCTCAATGATAGACCATGCCTCCAACACGTTTGGTACCGGAGAGAGTGATTGTGGGATCCACGCAGATAATTGTTTTGGTAGTTATTTCACATCTCAAGTATTCTTATTAGTTGTAACTGCCTCAGTTTGAACTGTGCCATAAAAATGCCGGTGTAAAATAGTCCCTTAAAACTAAACTTGTTTACTGTTTAGTATTCTTTTTTTTCTAAAATGTACATGTATTGAGATTTAATAAGAAGTAGTAATGATTGAAAAATAATAGAGTTACTACAGGATATAACAATAACATAATGTAACTTTAGAGCTTTGATTTTATTTTAATTTAGTTTTATTTGATTTTCTCAATTCTTTAACATTATTGTATGTAATTAAATACATGAATTTAAATCTTTTCCACAGGTCAGAATAAGAATAGATACGTACTAGCCTACTTGTCATGGCCTACGATGATTGGATCGCATAGAAATATCAAATACATGATGCAATTATCAGGACATACAAGGTAGCTTTGAATTTTTAATTGTTCTATTAAACGGTTAACAAGTAATTTCTATAATTATTTAGAAAAGTTATTAGTTACGCCGAAAAATATATACTATATTAAGCCTAAATGAGACGAGAACTTGATTTTAAAACATGTTTTCTTAATCTCTAATAATATGAAAAAGAAGGAAATGTAAAGCACGAGTTCAGACTCTAAAATCATGTATATAATATAAAATTGACCGGAAAAGGTTTAATTACCGTAAAATATTTCTACGTCATAAGCTAATTGATGGTGTCAGTAAAACATGCGAATGAATGACAAATACACTGCTGATCAAATCTTTATCCTTATTAATATTAATAAGTCAATGGTAAAATTCTCAGGAATTTGAGCTTTACCTCACCCATATATTTGTTTTGCATTTAACTTTATTTATGCAGGTGTTTGATCGACGCGGGATTTGGAACGATAAAGAAGTTGTATCGGCGTTCAAATTGTGATACTCTCCAACACGTGACGGAAGTAGTGCAGAAGTCAGCACACAGTAATGTTCCCGTTACTTATGGTGAATGGATGTGGAAAGGCTGGAAGGTGTTCCTCGCAGACAGATTCAAAAAAGTACCGAACATCTCAAAATATCACCACTTCCGTTACACGTCACTCGAACCCGGTATAGTATACATGAAGGTAGCTGCAGATGATACTAATGAAACACGATTTGTAATTTGTAAGACGAACTATTTACAAATGGATAGAAATGACCTTCCATCTGTCATACATCCTGCAGGATTAAGCCGGGAACGTCAGACGTACTTATACCATCACGTCAGACCACTTGTGAGACGCCCGTTCCAAGATGTTCTTTGCCCAGTTCCCCCGTCAAGCGATGGGCAGTGATTAGTTATACAAATTTCTGTACACTAGTTCCTAAGGTATCAAGTGTCAAGGATATATTTAAGCTGGTGTATCTCATGATAAACTTACTATTCTGTGTACAGTGGTGATTTTGAGTATTTACTGTTGTGCTTCTACGATCACAGCGTTTTCGTAGTAACTTATATTTGTGACTTATTATCATTAATGTAAAATTTTAATGTTTTTTTTTTAGATAAATTTGATAATTACAGAAAAAGATAATTTTGGATGAGTGTACGTAATTTTTTTTACTAAATTTATTCACGAGTTGAATAAAATCATATTAAGTGAACCTTATAGCAAAATATTGTTTTATTCAACGACTTCAATAAATTTAGTATTGAATCTACACGTAAATAATATATTTTTTATTTAATAAATAATGATATTTTTTATTGCATATATAAAATAAGAACTATTAACTGTTAAAAATATCATTTGTCATTTTACATTGACGCGCCTATAGTGTACGCTTACATTAGCGCGCTTTAACGCTATGTTTATATATAGCGCAAATGACGTCTCGTCAAAATGTTATTACACTAGTTTAATATCGTTTTTTATTTATAAAATAGCTTATTTTATACTCCTGTGTCGCGGTTTATGTGATAAATTCAATTATATTACGCCACACTGTCTCTTTACGTAAGTAAATAAAATACATTTTCGACGTTTTGAAATGATGTTATCAACGTTGACGTTAGTGGCGTTACTTGACGTCGGCTTTTTCAAAGCCGTTACGTTTAAGCTTTTTCATGCAAATGTGAGTCGAATAAAGTATAGAAAGTTATATATTACAAGAAAATTTAAAAAATGCACTAACGCATGATGGAAAAAGCCGAAAATATCCAAAAATTACTATAACGGCTGTTTATGCTTGGCGCGGCTCATTTATACATATACCAGAGCCTTTCAGTCTGTTAATAACATCATCATTTATATTATGTTCATAGCTGACTTTGTAATCAAATACTTCATTTCATCATATGAAACCAACTTCTACACTGATTGTATGTGTGCATCTGGGGGCAAGGTGTTAAAATGTTTAATGCTTAGTATGTTTTGTATTGCATCGAAAGATCTCCAGTATGAAAATAATGTAATTTTCAATACAAAGTCATAACCAATTATAATAACATTGTTTTACATATTAATTTATTCTTAATTTATACAATGATTTTAACAAATCTGTAATATTATCATGATAAATTTAAAATTGGGATAGAAATGTTTTTATATTAATATAATGGGTAAAATGGCATTAACAAACGAGTCATAATTATGTTCAGACATGCAAGTACTGCAGCAATATTGATTATACTTTTTTTATATTTCTTCATCTTAAAAAGAAATAATGGGCGTTGAAATCAATCATGTTGTCCTGTATTTCTTTTAGTTGTATATAGTAATACGTAAAAAAGATACCAGCTAAGAGTGCGAATGATAGCTAATGATACGAGTAGCGGCGATCTTGATCTGGTACATTCAGCTCAGGAAAAACAGCTTCGATTCGACTTTAAAGTACTTCTTCACTGAAACTCTTCCTACAGTAAAAATATAAAAAAGGAAGAATAAATTCAGAACATTAAAGTGGTTGCCCATTGATTACTTAGTATTTCATATTCTCACACACTCACACACACATATTTATAAATTGTGAAACAGATGACAGAATAAGCTGCTTGGATTAAACGGGGAAATGTTAACATATACATATATGTTATATATGTTTCATAATTTTGTAATGTAAAATAAATTCATTTCATTAGATTTTGACTTTCTAAATCAACCCTGGTACTGATATACTATCTAATCATTTGATCACAGCAGGTGTCAAGTGCCGTGTGGCAGCCGTAAAAAGTTGCCCCGTACTTGTTATAGTTTCTGGTCCTTCGGGATCATTGATGCCAACACTATAAAGTGTTGAGAATTGAGAACCGCTCAAGCCGGTGCTAGGGGGCGTGAGGGATGTTGCACTTATACATTATCCCTCATGTACAGACTCAATCAAACCGAGTCTGCAATTCTTCTGTTATTTTGTTGTGATTAATGCTTCCGAGGGATCACTTTGTTTCCAGAATTGTGTACTTCACAACAGCAGGTGTCAAGTGCCGTGTGGCAGCCGTAAAAAGTTGCCCCGTACTTCACTTCAGTGTTGTTATATTTTCTGGTCCTTCGGGATCATTGATGCCAACACTATAAAGTGTTGAGAATTGAGTACCGCTCAAGCCGGTGCTAGGGGGCGTGAGGGATGTTGCACTTATACATTATCCCTCATGTACAGACTCAATAAAACCGAGTCTGCAATTCTTATGTTATTTTGTTGTGATTAATGCTTCCGAGGGATCACTTTGTTTCCAGAATTATGAATGAGAATAAGATGAATGAGTTCAAGCATTTTATAATCATATATGATCTCAATTTCTTATCCTGATCACCTCTTTCGATGGTCCTTTGGTTACAAATAATTACAAAACAGTTCAAATTAAAACTGTTGGACAAACAACTACAGAAGGCTTGCTATATGGTTATGAAGTTGATAAAAATTGCAGTATGATTCAATATCAAAGACGACAGGGACATCATTAATTATTGTGAAGTATAAATACATAGATAAATGAGTTTTGTTCAAAGCTTTATTTTTGTTATATCTATGGGGGATATTACAAACAATCTTGAGAAATTATATTTCAATCATAGAAAGCTAGCTCCAATAGAAAAATCTATAATTTAATTTGTTAATGACTGCATTTTGGAAGTAAAGTGGCTATCGAATAATTAATTGCAACACACTTTAAAGCATACTCGAGTATAAATAATTTTACATGTGTTGTTTCATATCAAATTTATTACAAGAATTTAACATAAGTGATCAAACAAAGTATAATATAGTATAGTTAAGTATGGTATGGTATGGTATGGTAGAGGATAGGATAGGACAATATAGTATAGTATAGTACAGTACAGTACAGTACAGTGCAGAACAGTACACTACAGTACGGTATGGTACGGTACAGTACAGTACAGTACAGTACAGTACAGCACAGTACAGGATAGGATAGGATACAAAAGCATAGCATAGCATAGCATAGCATAAAAATAGAACGTATTATAATAATTAGATTATGATTTATTTGAAACAGTAGTCAGTACGATCACCGACGGCATCTCATGTTTGTTTGTTTTTATTGACAATGCGTATAAATACAAATATAAAGTTTTCTGTTGCCTCACTTTTGCATTTCGTTGACATTTGTTTTATCTCGGTTTTATTGCAAGACATTATTACACTCCTCTGCCGTTGCTTATGATCTCGCAAATGACAATTTGTGTCTGGGCGCATCATGTAATGATAGTTTTTCGATTCTATTTAGTAAACAACATTTTGTCATTCAAGGACACTCAAATTCGTAAAAACAAATTTTTAATATTTATTTTAATTGAATGTGTAATAATGTGGTTAATATTATAATCATTTTGAGTAATCTGACTCACATAATAATTATGGTTATCTGTATGCTGATGAAATTGCCTTGAGGTCATGTGTGCGTTTATAAATATACTTCGGACCTTTTTAGTCGTAAGTGCAAAATATGGAGAAAAAAAAATGCTGTTCAAGAAAAGTTCTAAATGCAATTTTAAGATGAAACTTAATACTATTTTAAATTGTGCCTCTGAGCACTTCGAACGTTTGTTAATATATAAAATTTAGTCTTATGTTTTCTATGAAACGCACCCTGGTTTCTTATTTATCATTGACAATGATTTCTTTTTATTAAAGTAAATTTTACGACTCATTCATGGACACTTGATGTTTCAATATAATATATTACAGTAGCATACAAACATTGATAGAAAGACTTTTCAATTTATTCTAAGATTCTTAATTACAACTTGAAATGAAACTATATTAAGTACAGTACTATAAACTGTCATTTGATCTAATCTTGATTTTTGTTTGAAAAGTCCAATAATGATATATTAGTTTTTTTAAAGACGAAATTACCAGCACGGAGCAAGAAATACAACATATTTACAACGCTTATGAATTAAACTAAATAGCTTTTAAATGGAAACTTTATATTAAATGCCGAAGAATATTGAAACCTTTTATAGAATGATGTCTTTTATCTACATTGTGTAATTTAACTTCGCAATAATGTCGAATCGTTGTGCTTATTTCCAGGGATGATTTCTCTTCATCGCTTTTGACATTCCAAAAATAGCTTGTCATCTAATATTGTTTGTACTTTAAGCTAATATGAAGTCAGCAAAACGCTTAATTAAAATCATTTATTCTTAAATTATAGGCGGTTTCATTTCGTCAATAGGTCTCGTTTCTTACAATTTCTTCCTGTTTTTTTTTAATCAATTTGCCCCATTACTGTAGCATTCAATTTGTCTAAAAGAAGAAGTCATAAAAGTACACATCTTATTATTTGTTTGTATCTGTATGGTTTGTCCATGGGACTGGATTCTTTTTTGTCTACACACATAGTGTGTCATTTTCTTTTTGCTCCGCCTTCTTTGAAGTCACTAAGCACTTTTGTAATATTTTAGGCTATAGGTTAATAACTTTTTATTGTTATGGTATCTGTTTCTGTCTTATGTTTTGCCATCTACAAGTGTTTTACTTAGCATGAACAACTTTATTCATACTGTTTCTAGTAGGAATATGCTGTTACTGAGAGTGATAAATTGCTCTATAAACAATCTTTACTTCCCGGTAGTGGTTTAGCTACTGACCTTGATCTGAGGTAAATTACCCCACATTCTTCCAATTATTCCTTTATATGTTTTACTATTTGTTAAATTTGTTAAGTGACCCCCAAAAAATGTTATATGTAGAGGCTTGTTGTTACATTTGTTGACCACTGAATAAGTTTGCTATCACCGGTAAGAATGTCTTTTCCTCGTATTTGTCCTTTTTTAATCTACCTTGCCTCGTTCCGCTTTTAACCGTACCGCCAGTGTATCTAGGTGACTTTGCAGTGGGTCTGTGTGATTGTCTATGATATAAGGCTACTTTTCGTGAACGTCACTTTTTCTTATTATTATTAAGCTTTTTTCAAATTAAATACATTCATTGTAAAAAAGTTACTGCACCTATACTCCATACACAAGTTCAAATAGCAATCATGGCAATATATCGAGAAAGTTTGGAGTTCTCCACGTGTGTGAATATTTCCAAACCCAATTCTTGACCAGAACCAAACCAATAAAACACAAAACG